TATTTAATTTACACTATAGACTTAGATTCATGTGTGGAATTTTGTTCTATACAAACGTATGCTGATGACACACAATTATCATTTCACTTCACATATGCTCAGTTAAATGAAGTGTCGTTTAAAATTAATACTGACCTAATCAATATTACGGATTTTTGTAAAAAGCACTGTCTCAGGATCAATCCTGAAAAGAGTTCAAGTATGCTTTTTTCTCCGAAACACATGTATAATAACATAAAGGACGCAATTGTACTCATTATAAATAACGAGCGCATCCCCATGGTAGAACATTCTAAAAACCTGGGTGTTATCTTGGACTCTAACTTGAAGTTTGATAGGCACATCGGTTACCTGTCTCAAAAAACATATGCCAAATTAGAACTTTTATATTCCAACCGTTTCATTTTAAACTTTAAGACTAGGAAAAAATTAGTTGAAAGCTTGATCCTGTCATCTTTGCAACATTCTCTGATTTTATTCTATTCTTATTTGGATTCGTCGGATCGGTATAGGTTACAAAAAATTCAAAACGGCTGCTGCAGGTTTGTGTTTGGACTTCGTAAATATAGTCATGTCTCTTCGAAGATTAAAGATTTAAATTGGTTAAAGATGGAATCACAGTTTGTTTATGCTATGAAGGTGTTTGTCCATAAAGTAGTTCGCACAAAAAAACCACCGTACATTTTAGAAAAGCAGGTACCAAGAGGTAACATTAATCAGAGAAATCTCAGACACAACCTAAATTTTGCGATGCCAGTCCACTATACAGCCCTTTTCCAGAAAAGCTTCACATTTCATGCTGTCAAGTTATACAACTCTACAGATAAAATATGTCGCAGTAAAACAATAGTGCCCTTCAGGAGACTCGTTAAGAAACAGCTGATGGGATATTAATAGTTCAAGTGTGCATTTGTTTCTTTCTCTTATTATTACTATTGTTTGTTTGTGTATCGAGTTTAATTGTGTTACTCTTTCGTACACAGTGAGGTTAAGTGTAAGAGTAGCCATTTGGCTAAACTTCGCCTCACTGATCTATGCTGATTAATAAAGACATTTATTATTATTATTATTATTATTTACAAGTACGTTGATAATAATAAGTCAACAGCATGCCTTTTTGTAGACTTGGCGAAAGCATTCGATAATATTGCGCATCAAAAATTATTGAGACCCCTGGAAAATTTAGGATTTCGTGGAAGACAGGAAACAATGTGTGAACATTAACAGTATACTAAGTGACAATATGATTGTTAGATGCGGAGTTCCACAAAGAACCGTATTAGGACCAATGCTATTTAATTTATACAGGGTGCGGCAGAGAGGATGGGCGGTTTTAAAAAAAAACATAAAATAGTTAATTGTTCCTCGAAAACAAATTTATTGATGGAACCAGGTTCACAAGCATTTGAGACAGTCAAGTGTGGAAAATCACATCAGGCATGTGGTGGCCGAAATCATTGATGCAGTGCTGGAGGCGTTCTTGGAAGTTCGCGATACAGCGCACCAAACCGGTACTTTTGGGCTGTGCAGCGGTCTTTCGTGTAACTGTTGCGGATTTTCATTAGCCCAATAACGACAATTCTGCTGGTTAACCATGCTGTTTAGGTGAATGTGGGCTTCGTCACTCATAAACAAAATGAGGTTCTCCTTTTGATCGATCAGTGCTTCCATCTCACGTGCGAAGTTCATTCGTTGTGCATAATCTCCGGGCTGTAACTGTTGCATAATGGCCAATTTGTAGGAGTGAAAGCCGAGATCCATATCCAAAATTCGCCTTACCGAACGATCAGTAAGGCGAAGTGCAGCAGCATGTTTCCGGGCAGATCGAGTCGGATTGCGAAGAAAGACCTGTCGAACGCGTTCAATATTTTCAGGAGTTCGAACTGTTCGCGGCGCTCCTCTTGTTCTTCTGTTGATCAGTTCACCACGCCTGCGAAGTGATTCAACCCAACGAAGGATGGTGTTTCGAGAGGGAACAGCTCTATTCCAATGAATGTTGAAGTGGCGACGAAACTCACGCTGTACGACGATGACTGACTCATTATTTCGGACGAAACAATCATAGGCGAAAACGCGGTGCTCCACCGTCCAAGGATCCATAACGACAACTGGTAAAATAATGCTAGGATCTCACGAGTCAAACGGCACCCTCCCCACCTCTCTCCTAGACGGAGGCGGAGAGACTTTTTTAAGTTAAAAAACGATGGAGAAATTATTAGTTTCGCAGACGATACGGCAGTTATTTACTCTGACAAAGATTGGACTTCTTTAAAAAACAAAATTGTATTGGATTTTCCAAAGGTTACAAATTTTTTCACGGAAAGGATTCTAACAGTCATTTTCCACAAAACATACTTTATGACATTAACTTCCTTGCGACAATAGGTCTTCCCCAAATTTCAATCAACTCCAAATTAAAACGTTGAATAGCTGCAAAAACGTACAATCGGTTGATAATTTCAAATACCTAGGGGTATTCATAGATAACCATCTAAGATGGAATATACATGTTGAAAACTTAATAAGAAAATTAAGATACCTTATTCCGAAAATCAAATATTTCAGCAGTTTCTCAAGCATAAAATACCTACACATGACCATGCCCTTGTTCAATCATTACTATCTGATGGAATCTTAGCATGATGGTGAGTCATGAATAATTATTCTAAAAAAACTGAAATTACGCAGAAGTGGATTTTGAATGTTATGTTGAACAAAAAGAAATTTTATCCCACAGATTAGAAAGAATTTCTGTCCTTCGAGTGCCGGCAAATTAATTTTTATCATACAATCATATATTTAACAAAAAATCCAAAATTGATACATTGCATCAGCCACAACCATCAAACGAGATTCAAGGAAATCTGTACACTAATTCCTAGACTAACAGCCAAAGATCATTCTATTTTCTATGCTCAACACTTTGTTGTTATTCCTGCAAACTTATACGTATAAAATGTAGAAAACGTTTAAACATTGAATTAAAATGATGGATCCTAAATCAACCAAGGCTACAAATCCATGTTTGTTGACACTAAAACCTATTATGTTATTTGATAATGAAATTATGCAAATTCATACATTTGACTAGTACACTTATAGGAAATTTGTTGTATTAATATAATTCAACTTCGGTTAAAACCCAAGCACAAGTGTACACTTTTTTTTTGGATATATTATGTTCATTGGACACTGCCGTTATTATTTATACAAAAACTTTTTAATTGGATCAATAAACATTATTATTATTATCTTGTATCTATGAATCAACCCAAGTACCATCAGCTTCGTTACCTCGTTACACATCTTCCCTCGACCGGATTCACGATAAGAGCATATTTTGTATTCACGTGTATGTGTGCTTATGCACATAGTCGCATTGCGTGCCAATTAATAGACTAGAGCTTGAATCCCAGAGAGAGAGATTGCTTATTCCGGGTGCATCAATTTGCTGCAGGCTGTAGCAGAGCAGTCATTGAAAATCGCGAGGCATAACGAGGTTCGAGCAGGTTGCAGCCGTTGGTTGAGTGGCTAATTGAAAGCCATGGTGGCTGACTGGCTGTCGATGCTGCTGAAGCCACCGATGTCGGTCGTAGGCAGGTGCAGCTCTGCTGGCGTCCCGGCTAAGGGAACAAAGGTGCCACGGGAGTATCAGCGATCGACGGCCGCTGTTTGGATTACTGCGAAAGATATAGATACCGGGGAAGATGGGGTGTTTCTGGAAGTTGCAATATAGGTAATATGCACTCTCCAATACTAGTCTGCTTTTGATAGATAGGCAATGCTGCCCAAGTAGCCATTCGGTCCGTCTCGTGAGAGTTCCGGCTACTAAAGAGCTGATTTGGAGGAAAATCGTAATGTTTAACATTGAACATAACCTCTACTCAGAAACGACAACACAAATAACAGGGATAAAGAGGAGTCCAGCTTATTTAATGATATGAACAACCCAGGAACGTATTCTTTTGTCTAAAATGGATACACAAACCAACCTATTCGGTAAACGTCAAAACAAACATCTAAAGCTAAAAATATAACACAACACTTTTTACTAGTGGAATAATGCATTATCTCTGTGAATTGACGCATATCTCTGTGTGAGAAAAGACTTAAGGCTGTTTCTTGAAGAAGAATCTAAGATGGATATCGTTTATAACGCCTAGAGCTGGGACGTTTTAACAAAGAATTGCCATAGCTCATTTGTGCATTCTGAGACGATCAAAAGTTACAGATACGAGTTGATGTTGGTCTAAAATTCCCCTATTAGTAATTTCTATATTTTTTTTGTTTTGTTTTAAAACCTTAAGGTACGGTTTAGGGCAAAACATGAAAACCGTTTGCATCCATGATTTTGCAAGCTTGCAGGAGATTGTAGACGTGGCTTATGGCACGTTTCACCTCGGAGTGAGAGATTGGGTGATATGCATAAAGGTGAGGGGGTTCTCAGAAGTAGCGACTCCATGTTGTAGCGAGTAAACTACTCCTGTTAGGGAGAGCCTACTCGGTTTTGATATGCATAAAATATTTGTCGAGAAACGGAGAGGCTACTCAAGGGCTAATGAAATACTTGAGTAGGCAGTCGGGTTTTCGAGTTCCGACTTGTATTTTGTTGTCTCGCCGAATTGGCAATTTCTCTATTGCGAGCAATTACTACTGTATACCAGTAAACGTTTGTGTCGGTGGTGTTTAGGTCGATTATTATTTGTTCATTTACATGATGTCAACCTATTCTGAAGACAGTATTGTTTTATTGGAAAAATCTAACATCCCGGAAATCAAAAATAAACGACTTAAGGCGGTTGAAGGAATAAAAGAAAAGGTAGAAGCCGAATTAGGAGTTAAATATAATGAAGGGCAGACTTGGAGGAAGATTCAAAACATAAAAACCAGATTAAAAGCGAAGGCAGACAGAAATCAAACCGGAAACAAACCAATAAAATTGAATGGATGGGAACAAGAACTGCTCAATTTTCTACAAGGAGAATCAAATCCTAGGATTGCTCGATTGTAATGTTAGTTGTATTTTTTTGTGCCTCCATTCAGTAGGTATAAGATGTGATTGAGTATAATATATATGCATGTCAATAAATATAAATAGCACATATTTAAAATGTTAGGTGCTGTTGTGGCAGGTTGCCCACAAAAAAGCGTTGATTACACTCCAACAGCCTGTGCTGAAGAAGAAACAATCACCAAAGAAGCATCTGGAAGTTCAGGACTAGTACTGAAAGCTACCACAATGAAAGCCGGACCCAGTAAGGAGCCTTCTAAAAAAAAAAAGAGAACGAGGATTAGTGGAACCCGATGAAACACGAGATTTATCAGTAACAGAGCTCCAAAGTCTTGTTTTACTTGAACAACTACAAGTGTTTCGGCTAGCTAAGGAACTGCTACTTCACAAGAAAAATATTAATGAATCGGATCCAAATTTATCAACTTTAAATGGAAGTGCAGAAACTGGAAATCCAATTTTCATGAGCTTACTCAGACCCGAAACCCATGAATAATTCTTGATATTGCATCTCTTCTAAATTGACCTCCCTGACGTATCACTCCATCTGCCTAGACGGCAGCATGTTGATAATGGATTTCTTCTTGTTCGCCATCTCCCGGTATATCAACAGCAAAATCTTCATCATTAAGGTGCTTAGCCACATTATGCAAGATAAAACAACTCATGACAAGGGAGGGCACTTTTTCTGTATCGATGCGTATTTTGTTATGTAGAATGGAAAAACGCTGTTTTAGTTTCCCGAAACATCTCTCTATTATAACTCGCTCTCTCGTAAACAGCCGATTGTATGATCTTTGTTATGCTGTTTCTGCAATCCTAAAAGGAGTCATGAGCCAAGGAGCTATAACATACCCAGAGTCTCCCAACAAAACAGCACTAGCCCTATTCCATTTCATAACGTTGTATACCTGAATATCAGAATTCTCCCATATCCGAGAGTCGCGTACAGATGCTGGCCAAGAAATATCCACACTTGTGAACTCTTCGTTTGAATTGCACGTTGCTTGTACATTTATACTAGCAAAGATCTTTCTGTTCACATATTCGTCTGCATGAATAAACGGCTTCAGAATAGGTATATGGGTGCAGTCGATAGCACCAATAGCTGAAGGAAAATTGAACTTTTCTTGCCACTTATTTTTAGCATTGTGTAGATCTTCACTTGAGGTTGGGAATCTAATCCAAATATTCGACTTCTGCACAATGCGTGTTGTAACGTTGGTAACGATTCGGGATACCGTAGATTGATGGACACCAATATCTTCTCCTATGCCAATTTGAAATCCTGGATCACCCACATATCGTAACAAAACCCTCATTCTTTCTATATTGCTCGAAGCACCGCCCCTATATTCTTCTATCTCTCCAAGAAAATGGTTACTTATCCACTCAACATTAACTTTACTAAACCGATATAAGGCCCGATAGTCTACTTCCCTTGATTCCCTACGATCTTGAAACACCTTCGTAGGCTGATAAATAGGCATAAATTCGCCCATTTCGTGAAGACATTCACTTCTTATAAAGCTGAGTCTGCTACTAAGGTATCTCGCATTTCTTTAAGTATGTACTCAGCGGTCGGAGTGGACGCTCGCTTTTATGCATATAAAAATTAAAAGCGGCACTCAAGGAGCGAGTACAGCCTCACGGAAAGAGTAGAAACTTATGAGTGTGAGCTTCTACTTACATTTGTATGCATATCAAATGCGAGTCAAAAGTAGCCACTCGCCTTTATGCATATCACCCAATGAGCTGTAAACTCGTAGACACCTCAATTTTAAGGATCGTATCTTAGATATTCCTCCGTTCACGTCTTGAGTTATGAAGGTCGACGATAACATGAATAATTTTTTTGCGAACGTCTCGCTTAATATTTTTTGCATTTAATTAACCGTTGTTGAGATAGAGGTCGGTGAGCGCACAGCGCTCAGCCATTTACAGGATAGTGCAAGGTCAACCCAATATCAAAAAATATATGTTTATTTAAAATAATATATGCTTATTATAAAAATACGCAGAACCCAAATGAAGATTTCTGCATAACTCATATAATATGTTATACAGGGTGTTTGAGAACTAAGGGATCAAACGTCTAGGGGTTATTCAGTGTACCAGTAGAAAACATTTGAGTATAGGGACCCATATCCGGGAAAGTGTCACTACGGCACTACGGCCCTAAGAATCGTTAAAATTTAGAAAGACGATGAATTGCCTAAATAGTATTTAAGGCATTTAATTTTTGCCTTTTGTACACGATATCATCACAACAATTGTTCAAAATGTCTTCCTCCAACTTGAATACACCGATTTAAACGTCGCACATGATTTCGGCGGACTTGACTAAAAAGTTGATACTCATTTTGAATGATTTCAAATGCTGCTGTATTTCATACAATTAAGTCTTGCTCTGTTTCTACTGGAGTTTCGTAAACCTAAGACTTTACATGTCCCCACAGGAAAAAATCTAGCGACTTCAAATCAGGTGACCTAGGAGGCCAAGAAACTGCTCCACCTCTGGCAATCCAGCGGTGCCCAAACCGCTGAGCCGAATACTCACGTACTTGTACAGCACAGTGAGCCGGCGCTCCATCATGCTGAAACCACGTTTGCTGTCGAACGTTCAATTGAACATTTTCAAGAAGTTCTGGAAGAACTTCCTCCAAGGAACGCCGATAAATAGGTCCTGTTAACCGTTCCGGTAGAAGGTATGGCCCAATCAAATAATCATCAACAATGCCTGCCCATACGTTGACAGACCAACGTTGCTGATATTTTCTATGAAAAATTGCTTGGTTATCTTCTGTGCCCAAACGTGGCTATTCCTACTATTAAACAAAACAAAAGGCAAAAATTAAATGCAATAAATCCAATTTAGGCAATTCATCGTCTTTCTGAATTTTAACGCGTCTTAGAGCCGTAGTGCCGTAGTGACACTTTCCCGGATATGAGTCCTTATACTCAAATGTTTTCTACTGTTATACTGAATGACCCCTACAAGAGTGCCCATAGTGGTACAGATCTAGGGTATGAATTTACAAAAAAATCAGGAGACAACAGGATGATTCTGTGCATATAGCACGTTTGACCGCGAAATACTTCAAGATCTTGAGACAAATATCCTCGATGACGAAAATGATAACCAATTTACAACTTTTGAGTGACCGAATGACGATGATGAAAAAGAAGAAGAAAATTAAAACTCATGTTCTTATTATTAAAGTGTTTGTAAAACCTCCCCATATCTGAATTTCAATCGTAACGAATGTATGAAACAGTGATTCTAAATAAAAATTTAATAAAAATGTATTGATTCAACTTTTGACTACCTATAAGGTAAGTAGTATGTATTAGAATATGATTAAATAATGAATAATATTAGATCTAATGTCATGATTAACAAAAAATGCAAATTGAGCACAATCAAGGTTTCTACAAATTTACAGCTTATTATCTCGCATTCCCTCTTCTATGTATTATTTAATTAGACTAAATCGATTTGCATCCAACTCGGACCGGCATCTAAATTTCAAACTTTAAGATGTTTTATCTATAATCTGGGTTCCTTCACAAATATGACGGACGTTTATCGGTGCAAGGCATTCCAGACGTTACGTGTTTCACATGATCAAATTAGATGCAACTGAGTTGAATTGATCGCATTTACAACCCACAGAACTTAGTGACTTGCCCCCATATTATAACAGGATGTACCCCGTCCGCAGTATCCGGATTGAAGAGCAGCAAACCGGAAGTGACGTGCACCCTAATTGCCAACGAACGCGAGAGCAAGACACGTTGATTGTTTATGTTCACCAGGTAAATGAGCAGTCTCAATGGAAGTGACTATCACGTGGAAACGGTTACTTCCATGACTGGATAAACATAATGATCTCTTGAATGGAGGGCTCTGAACTCAATTTATACTATACGGATATACAAGTGGATATGTATGTCATCATTAGTAATTAAAGTATGCAATACTTGTTCAGTTTACAAGAGAACACTTAACGTTACGACACAAATGACCCTGAGAATATCATAGCGGAAATATGAAGAGCAATGAGAGTCTTGCTTAGATATGGAACTTTTCAAGAAATGCGAAAGACAATTTTGTGTTGTGTGTATTCTTCACATATTATTTTTCTTTCAAATACTCCATGGGTTACTCCTAATTGAGTGAACAATTATACTCTCAATTTTCACTAGTGCAGTGGATCCATAATAATATAATTCAGACAGTTTCAGCCTGGAGATTTCCCATCGTTCGTATAAAATTTACTTAAATAAGTGTTTAATAACTTCCTCAATGAATTTTAACAATGATAACTTTCCATACTGCGACCTGTGAAGTTGTTGCTTTTATGTTTTCTAAGGTTTTCTCCGTTTTTGTCCTGAAATAGAATTTCAACGTTCTAAGCAGTTCTTTATTAATATTGTAATGAATAATGTGGTACATTCAATATTTTTGTGCCATTCCCTGAAGAAGAAAATAAACCTACTTATTGACGTCCAAATTTTCGAAACCAGTATTTACCCCATATGAGCCCTCTTCCAAAAAGCTGTTATGACTACGGACAATGGAAAAAGTGGGTTTGAATAGAAATCGAAAATCGTATCAACCCCACTGTGATACAATGATTGAGGTCAACATGTAAACCGAATGCGATTACGATCAGATAAGACACAGCCGCTCAGTGTTGCCATGTTACGCATATATGCTGGAATATTTAGAATGAGGAGCAGCATGGATGGGTCCTCAGAATAACAGAATCAAATAATTGGATATGTTTTCCTATCAAGAGTCAATTTCTATAATGACATAATGACACAAATAAACACTTTCATAAGGATCTGTTACAGGAGATTATTTATTTGTCACCGATAATGATCTGGAATAACTGTGATGTATGATCTAGCAGATTGGCCGGCGGACCTGGGTTTGATATTAATATATTTTTTTAATAGTCATGTTCATGTTTCCATAAAAGCAGTCAGCGTTTTGAGTTACCTAGTAGACATTAGTTTGAATACAAAATGTGAAATGAATAAATTAACATTCTATGCTAGATACAAATTTATTTTGTTGAAACAATGCATATCTTTGTGTATATGCCAAAATTCGTATGAAACTTCGAACACCATAACCATGGAAATTATGACCGTAATTATACTAAGTGACATATAAATCCGAACACCCAGTTTATATGGCGACGTGGTGAAAGGAGGAATCCACAGTTTTTTGTTGAAAGACATGTTCATCACACTGTTGGAGTTATGGTTTGGGGTGCTATAGCTTATGGTTCCAGGTCACCTTTAATCTTCATCAGAGATAACATGAACGTGCAGCGTTATATCCACGAAGTTCTAGAACCCCATCTTTTACCCTGTCTTGACACCCTGGCAGGTCCAACTTTCCAACAAGATAATGCCCGGCCACATGTTGCAAGAGTCACAATAGACTTCTTTCAACATAATGATGTCACATTGTTATCATGGCCACCAAGATCTCCCGATTTATCCCCAATTGAGCACGTGTGGGATATGATGGGTAGGAGATTGCTCAATTTGCAACGTCCTCCTCAGACTCTAGAAGCACTTCGAGAGGAGTTGGTGGTTGCCTGGAATGAGATACCACAGGAGGACATTGACCACCTGATCAGAAGCATGCCTAGGCGCGTTGGAGAATGCGTAGCACATCAGGGTGCATCCACACATTATTAAAGGTCAAAGGGCTTTAAAGCAGTGCAATCATTTTGAAATTTTTATCATTTACTTATTATGCTTCATTAAGTACTTATACAAAGTTTTATTAAAATAAAACCATTTAAACTGGGTGTTCGAATTTATATGTCACTTAGTATATGCGTGAAAATACTTATACACTGCTTTCAAAAAGGTCCCATTCCTTATTTTTTTAGCACGTCAAGAAAAAGACAAAGTAAAAACTGGTTTAAAGAAAACCAACAAATATGTATAAAAAATAAGTGTTAACAACAAATACGTTACAGGGGATGTGGTATTATATCAGAAAATTCGATGACAAGAAATTCATTATAATGGGTTTGTGGATTTAAGTCTAAATTGATAGCAATACTGTTTATTTTTTACTATTAAGTCGATGGTTATTTTAACGAAACATCGGCAACACGTAACCGCGCGTCACGTAGGCGGATTTGGGGATTTGCAATTTCCCCATACCTATCCCGACCAGGGGGTGCAGAGGGATATGGGTGGGCATATCTGAGTGTTTATATTGGACCGGTCACAGCCTAGCAGCCTAGCCTTTGTTCCGCTTATCTGCGATGGTCCAGCCTATCTGTAATGAGATCTCTGTCAGGTCGACAATGCGACACGCTACCTCAACACCCACTGGTATGCGTGTATAACTTTCTGACCTTTGTGTTCGAGTATACCTGTATGTCGTAATTCAAGGTCCATTCAGAAGAAAATTACTTTTTTCAATTCCATATAAGAATCATTTTAGTATTTATTTACCCTGGCAGGTTAATTTTGGGTTTCAAAATCATATCTTCGATTTTTTTATATCGAAGCAGTCGCGGAGGCAGAGGCCCAAATGCCAGGGCACCTATGAGGATCCCAAAGAAACTTTGTTAATC